TTTAATGACATTTTGATTGAATTTTGTAATATCTTTTGCACACCGATGACTGATAAATACCATGTCTCACATTTTTGAATGACACTGATATCGATGAAACCTCTGTGGAACTCCTTTATTGAGTATAATGCACCATTACACATCTTTTTACATAATCTTAGTAAACCAATACGTAGTTATAACAAATAATGCCGACAATGGGTTCGCAATATCGAAATACGTCTCAAAACCCAAAACCCAAAACGCATCCCAAATCGCTGCACTGCACACCACATCTGTTAGGGAATACAAAACCCTAACCTTTCGCCTCGCTAGCCACTGCACGGACTGCACTGCAAGCTGCACGAAATTTAGAGGCAAACGTCTGCAAAAGTAACGTCTAGTTCGTATTCATCGCCACCCGACGCTCCCTCCTGCAATTCCAGCAGACCCGTAATTTCCTTGTAACATTTGCCCACTTGCCGTTGGGAGTACACTCAGTACAGCGACGACTGACAGATTTCAGAGAATGTTCTGGGCATCTTCTCCATGCGGGCCTCGAACTCGCTTGCAAAGCGCAGTGCACCCTCGTGATTGCAAGCCATTATAGGAATAGTAAAGAAACCATACTCTTTGCTGATGATTTTAAATTAAACCTGACTCGCCCAGGGTTGACGCCGACAAGGTGAACAATTACGGAAGTGACCGGTCCGAGTTCATGCCGCTGTCCTGAAGTGGTAGCGCGCCCGGAACGCGGTCAAATGGGTGTATCTGTAGTAAACCGGCGTAGGGATGCTGACACTTTGGTAGCAGCGTGCAGAGACGAACGACAGGTGATGCAGGTTCTTTATACACTTCAAATTTTCTGCTGTAAGATATCGTAAAAAGCATGTGGAAACTTAATATAACAGATACTTGGTACACTTCGCTTGCGCCTTGCGGTACATTCTGCTATTGTAAAAGTATTGATTTCGCGATTGGTTTTCCGTTTTTTGTGCCCTTGTGCGATCACATCAGTGATCGCAAAGGTATGCACTGGGATCGGAACGCTTATCAAAATCATCAAATACTGGGTGTCGTTCTCTCGGAAAACATTTACACCGCTCGTGTTATAGCGCGGATAGACGCAGTAATCATTCGTTTGGTGACGGTACAGTTATTATTAGGTGACAAAAAATCTGAAAATCAGAAACAGCACAATTATCCGTTTAGATTTAGACTAAAATAATAATTTAGCCTTGCTTCTTTCAACAAAAGTACTTAAATAAGTGGAGTGTGAAGGTAAGCCCGTACGTCCTACTACAGATGAATTATTTAAGGGGCAAAGTCTCTCGCTGTACTTGCTGTCGTCACCGGGCTGGAGTTTTGCGTTGTGGCTAAACATGGCGCTTGTGGACCGCGCCTGATTTGAGGTAACGTATTTCGGTAACGTTGCACTCCAGACGGCTGCAGTACAGGGCACGGTCCGGGTTAACTGCTTTTTTGCCTTCTATTATTAACGAAAAATAAATTCAGAGTAATTTAATGCTGTAACTTAATCAAACGAACTAAGCTTTTGCAATACTAACCATTAAAACTTTTGAAATACTAAATGGTAAGGCTATATTATAGCGCATGTTAAAACAGTGCAGTATGCATTTAGCTGTAAGAAAAATTATTTACTGTAACTAAGTATTATGATTTTTCAGGCCAACACTTATCGGTACGTACATACACCCCATGTTCAATTGTGCACACTGCGCATGCATAACGTCGACCGCGTTTTCGTTGTTAGTACGAAAATAAGTAAGTACTTACTGTACTCAGTATATTAATGCAAAATAAATATGTTTTAAACACATCTGTGTGTATTAACCACATTTGCTTAGCGTATTTTGTCCACACCAAGCAGCTCGACTCACGTTATGAACGATTAGGTTACCGAGTGTGTTTTGTTTTGTTTTGCCAATCTTTTTAAAGTTTTTAGTGCAATTTTCTTTTGCGCATTTTTGAGCAAAAACGTTAACGATTTTCCGTAGCGGTGTCGCGAGAAACACCTTCCTAAGCGAAGGCACCGATGGAACAAGTCATGGCAGTGCTGAAACACAGTTTAATTCAGCCAGAAATCCAGAAATCCAGGAAAGACTTTAGGCGCTTGAAATTAAGGTCAGTTTGGAGACCCCCACGAAAGTGCTTCGTAAACAAGAACCAAAAGTCAACGGCTAGACCAGACCTGCAAAACGCCTGGGGGAGCGAAATCGATTTTTCGCCAAAACTAAACGCTAGTGAAAACAAGGGATGGTTTCAACTGAAAATTGTTTCAATGGAGGGTCGCGCACCTATGGCGAGGACGGTAGTACAGTAAACAAATTATTGCCCAAATTGAATGTTGTGAATGTTGAATGTTGCACCTTGTGAATTTTATTTTGTGGTGCTTGGTCAAGGAGGACCTCCCACGGCTTTATGGTGACCTCGCGAAGGAGGTCGTCCTACAGTTTGGCCACGCCCACCTTTATACCGGTGCCCTGACCCAGGAGTGACATCAAATTATTGGTGTTGAGTACATCCCAAAGGGCCAATAGAAGAAACAGTATACTGTATAAACATAAGATGGCGTCGGTTACGTCATAAACTGGAGTTGGGAGCTGGACTTTCTAGTTACAATTCCCGGTTGTACTTTGTACTTGCAGCTCCCAACTGCAGCATATGATTCAGCACAACTGCAGCATATGATTACTGCATATGTACACGTATAGAAGTACACTAACTAATTTACTCACTTACTGATAATCACACACACACACGCTGGTGCATCTGCTGTGCATACCTCAAGGATGCTCGCAGCCCAGATGCAGCTACCTGTGCAGCCGTGTTGCACGCGTGCAAGTGGTTGTTTACATTCTTTACCGCATGGAGCGGCATTGGCACATTAGCGCAACTGGCTCGTCAGCGATGGTGCTGCATACCATGCGCGTCTCTTATTGATTGAAAACACTTATAGTAATGCTGCGCACTTATAATATACAAATTATTTGTCAACTTATCGAGTAGTTTAATTGCTTAACTGGATTGTGCACGGCTTATATATAATTGTGAAACTTGACATGCGCCCAATGGTTGGAGTACTGTACGGATGGATGGATGGTACTGTACTATATGGATACTACTGTACACTGTACAGTTATATTGGTTTACTTTCACTGCTTGATTCAACAAGTTGTTTACATTCTTTTACACTATGGAGGAGCACTTTAACGCATCTGGCTCGTCAAAGCCTTTCAACGCATAGTAAGTGAAATATAATTACTTTTCAGTGGATATTACTAGCTGCTCTATTCTCAATTTATTTATACATATATAATCATGGAAACTAACAGGTACGATGGAATATTATCTTCTTTATTACTGTACATTATGCCTGTAGTGTGTAATCAATTTTGACAATTATTTGCAGTCTACTGCGTGCATGCTTATGCGTGCGTGCAGATCAACTGAAAAAGTCCGCCAGGGTCGTTGCAAAATTTTTCCACTGGAGCCAAAGCCACGTTTCTGTTAACGATTACTCCGCTAATTGCAGAATTTATGAATTTCTTGTACACGAAGTAAGTGAAGCAAGTGTTTTTAGTTTATATTACGTTGTAACCCATGCTGTATTTGTCATGTGTACATAGTTTCGGGGCTGCTATAAACTACGAGGGTTTGAGTGGAAAAAGTTGGCCTGAACTTCTCAAAGAATTTTTCCACCTTGTCAACGGTATGGCGTAATTTGCTGATTCCGCAGTTTCCTGATTACAAAAATTATTATTATATGCTTGTATGTTTGCTCAATGCTTTTATAACAAAAAAATACATTTCGTAATAAAATCTAATTATCATAATTAATGAGTAATGTATTGTACAGTATTGCACTGTATATGTAGTATGTACCAGATACTTTAAGGGTAAACGTTCTGTACATTTCTTAAAAAATTTAGCACTAATGCTTTGTAATGCCAGGTAACAGAAATATGCAACGATAGCTTTTTTTGTAATTTTATTTACTGCTGCATTTAGGTTCCTAATAACAGGCGCAATTCGTTTTCAGCAGTATGAAGAGTATCAGCATCTTTTGCACCTAATAAATTAATTTTTCCAGAATGGAAAATCATCGCCGTACAACCTTGAAGCCGGACTCGCATGGCCGGAAATATTTCAGGTTCAAACATGGCATCAGCTTTTGCTCTTATTGAGTTGTATAATTTCTCTAAACTAAGAAATTTCCCAAAATTGAAAGTGGCGACAATGTTAACAATTCTTGGATTCTTTAACGATGCTTTTTGATAGCCGTATTTTTGCAGTTTCCGGTAATAGTGATCCAATAACGCGAGAGCATCACTGATGGACTTTGCACCATTAACTGTGATCTTGCCGTTGCGGTACACTTGGCAGTGCGATTTGTAAGGACGAATGGAACGGAGAAGAAGCCCGGAAAACTTATGTGGTGCATAATGAGCAAGCGGAGCGCGTTCGGATAAGCTGGGTAAGTCAATTGCGCAGCCAAGGTCAGCAGTTGCAACAACGTTAGTTATTTTCGCCATTCAGCCAATTTGCAAATGTCTCCGCTTTTGAAAGCGTTGTTTGTGGTAATGAAGTAAGCTCCTTAAACTTCGGGCACCCAATGTCTTCAAGATTAAACACTTCAGGCAAATAATTTTCCAAAATCTTTTGCTTTTCCAACTTTGGCAAAAAACGTCAAACGCGCAGGTCGTTCACCAATAAGCTCCAGCATATCCTGAATCGCCCTGGCGATGTCCAAGTATAAATAATCTCCACGATTATGCCAGACAAGTCCGTGTGAGTGACGCGATTGGCTCCTAAATTCAACGCGGTAACGATTAAAGTGGGATGGAATGGTGAATGTGTAGCACCTGCTAACACTAGTTGGGCAATCACAAAATGCCAGCTGTTTTATAAGCCGTTGGGAGCCAGCGATAAACCAATCAATATCTAAGACAACCTCCGCTTTGAAGTCTCCATTCTGTTATCGGTACGCTAGCAATAGCTCCGCCCTTTGGAAATGGATTCCTTAAATAGGTATCCGCGCACGACAGCTGATTTGAGATTCCGACTACCCGCTTCAGTCCTTGTTGTGGGGCCAACGACTTCGGGAAAACGACATATGTGTCAAAATTAATTATGGAGCGCGATAAATTATTTGACCAACCATTTGGACGAATTATTTTGGTGTACTGACAAAAATATTCAACAAATTCAACAAATTGTGGAGGATGAAAATTATTTTGATGGTAAACAAAATATTTTGTTGATACTGGATGACGTGGCAAGTGGTTTGGTGAAAATGAGCATTTGGCTAAACTCTTCACTCAAAAAGTACACCATAAACGGCTTTGTGTATTTCTATTATTCAATAACCTATATAAACAAGGGTCTGCTATGCGAGACGTGCATCTTAATGCACAATATCTTATACTGTTCAAAAATAATCGTGATGTGAACCAAATCAAGATTCTAGAAAGGCAGACTGGTTTAAAACATCTCAGCGGAGCTTACGAGGAAGTCGGCCAGGAACCATTTCAACCTCTCATTCTGGATATGAAACCGGACACACCTGCCTATTTAAGGATTCGTTCAGCAATATTACCGGGAGAGTTGACTAAAATTTACGTTAATCCACATACGACAACCTTGCCCAAGAATGTGTGATCAGATTTTAAAAGACTTTGCACCGTTTCTCCTTACCCTGCGATCGCTGAAACCCAAGCAGCGTCGTTTTCTTTGGAAAATATTTCGAAACGACAACTTCGCTGTTTTGAAGAAATTTGTTTGAATTTGGTAAAGAATTCAGTGCCTCTTACCACCGATCAGCTAAAGGTGTGTCAGCGTTGGCGTCGACCATTAAAGCTGATTGCCCTCAAAAAATATCCTTTACGAAGCAAGAGGGAAATTTTATTACAGCGCGGAGGATTCTTACCTGCGGTTCTACCTGTATTGGCAGCTGTTTTGGGAACTGCCTTACTGAAATGAAACCGGAAGTGCATTATATTGTTCCCGCGAGCGAAATGAAAAGACTTACAAGTGACACGGTTGGTCGTATTGTAACGGATGTCCAATTACAACAGCAGCCTACTGCAGTTGTGGATATTGTAAAACTGGACGATTTGATGAGAGATATAATTTCACGGAATACGCTAAGCGAATGGGAGAAAGCGGAACTGTTATCAAGAAACTTGGCTCGCTTTTGGCGCTGAAAGAGTCGGCGTTCGGCCCTGACCAAATGGTTATTCCGCCTCCAGCATCTGTGCCCCCATTCCAGTACAACTATTAAAGAAGCCGTGGGTACCCCTAATATGCCTGATCGTATGTTAGATGCTTTCCTCCTATTCCACCTGCACCCCGGCAAAACGCAAGCGTGCAAAGCGAGAAGTATTTGATGAAAACACTTTACAAATCGAAGGTCCCATCGGTTCAAGAACCAAATCCCAGTTCAACTGGATGACTATTAATAACAAATGAGTGGTGGTGGATGCGTTCCTTTTCTTTGTCTTTGGGTGAAGGTATGACATGGAACTGCACATCTAGCTGTTGCGATGGATCAAGCAGTAGCGACGACGAATACGATGGCCAATCTACTGCTACGACAAGCGTATCTGAACCCTCAGCACCCGGGCAGCTTAACAGGGATTCAAAAGTTTCGCAGCCACTTTCCACAAGCACCAAACTATCAACAAACGCGGGAACAGCTGGAGCATCTGGATCCATATACAGTCCACAAATCTCGACGCAAAAGGTTCAAAAGAAACCCCGTAGTTGTCTCAAACCTAGCGGAGCAATATCAAGCCGATCTGGCAGACATGTCAAAATATGCGAAGCAGAACAAAGGATACCGTTGGATATTGTTTGTGATCGACGTCTTCAGCAAGAAAGTGAGCTGTCAACTACTAAAGAATAAAAGCGGTCTAGAAGTAAAACTTGGGTTGGAAAAGGTGTTTGCAGAACTCGGAGCTCCCATTAAATTGCAAACGGACAAAGGTCTTGAATTTTACAATAAGGACGTTAAGAGTTTTTGACAGCCCAAAAGGTTTTTTGTTCTCTTCTGAAAATAAAGCAATCAAAGCATCCTTAGCTGAAAATGGCATACGCAATCTCAAGAAACGAATATGGAAATTATTTCGACACCGACAGTCTAAAGTGTACTGGGACGTTCTGGGAGATTTGGTAAACAGTTACAACAACGCAATTCATTCTTCGCATAAAGTCACGCCTAATGAGGTTAGCCAGTCCAATTCTCTGCAAATATTCAATCGACTATATGCAGAATTATTATTGGGAAAGCAGAAAAGCCAAAGTACAGCGTAGGTGACACAGTACGAGTAGCCATCGACAAAACACTTTTGAAAAAGGATATGAGTCAACATTTAAGGAGGAAATTTACAAGATACACCAAGTATTACCACAACAGCCCGAGCCCCTCTACGTATTACTGGATGAAGACGGGGACTTAATTCGCGGGAAATATTACGAAGCCGAACTCAGTCGTGTCAGAAATGGCTCATAATAGCTTTTATGTCACGCTTCCATCTGATGCCTGTATGCAACAGTTCCCAAAAAATAATGCAGCTGAATGGACCACAAAGTTAAAGAGCGTGATATCGCTACCGGGACAATGGGAAATGGCATTGGTGGAAATACAGTATCCTAATTCAATGTACAATTTACCCAGTCCCCAAACGTTGCACGTTGACCAAATTACTTCTATGGATAGCAACGGTGTTTTCGCTATGGAGAGGGACACAATTACGGTACCTGCAGGGATCTATGAGAAAAGTGACATCATTAATTTTATCAACAGTAAAGTACCACGGTTAAAGCCATTTCGCGATTCTTCAGCGAAAGAACAGGCGGCTTTCCAACTAGAATTATTTGCAACCGAGCCCAAGCTCAAAGTGAAATTTTCCAGCGTACGTGTTTTTCTGGATTTTCCTCCTCATCTTTGCATCTATCCCGTATGCTTGGATTTAAAGAACGACGATTTTCTGCTGCACAGTCTGAACAATATGAAAATTTTTAATGGAAAAACGAATTTTGCTTCCGCAGCTACAACACTGTCCGACCAGCTGAAAGCCCTGGCAGAGTTGCAACTGTTGGAGACGTCTATAACAATGACAGCAGATAAGCCCGTAAATATGCACATTGGGAACCAGTCAATTTTTGTCTACTGCAACAAGTGCGACTACAATATTGTGGGCGATGAAACTATGCAGCTTTTGCGCGCTTTCCCCATTAAAGCAAGTGTTCCTCGCTTCGAAATTGTTTCCGAAAGGTTTGAGGATCCACATTATTTACCTGTTTTATACGATCGACTGGACACTATTGATATCAACATTGCAACTGATCTCGGAGAAGCGGCAATTTTTCAGACTGGAAAGTCAATGGTAAAGCTGCATTTCCGCCCCATTCAGTATTACTATCGCTAAAAATGCCCGTAATCCTCTTTGAGCCGTCACCATCGTTCTATCTGGATTTATTTGCGGGGGCCGCCACGGGCGCTAGTAGCCAGCACGGCTATGGAGCCGTCATGACACGCTATCGCGGGAGTTTAATGCAAAATGGCAGCGGATTTATGCTACCTAATTTCCTGCGCGCAATGTTAGTAAATTAGCGCATTTTGCTGCCCCGGTTATTAAAGCAGCGGCACCACATGCCAGAGCAGCAATGGAAGCAGCAAAGCCCCACTTACGCGACGCAGCGACAACAGTTTTAAGTGAAACATCCAAGAAGGTAGGAGAGAAAATTTCGGAAGCGTTAACTGCGCAACCTCAACAGCAAGGAGGCATCAAACGGCTCAAGCAGCAGCACAAGAGGACAAAAGATAAAGAAACCTTCCTTCCGACTTAAACGGCTTAAACGGATTCCCCAAGAGAATTTGAGGACGCATTTTAAAATGGCTTTTATTTTGGAAGGAAGCGTGCCAGCTATGCAGGTCGAGTCGGATTTATTCTCCGTTCCGGCCACTCTAGCGGATTTTGTGCGGACAGAAGAAGAACGCATTCTACCAACATCAGGGCAAACAGAAGAAATTAGTTCTGGAGAAATTTCCTTTTACATTCCCCCTTCAACGTCGGCGCTGCTAGTGCTACCGGAAATTACGCTAGAAATGGATATTGCAATCAAAAAGCAAATTGCAGGACTTGGTGCGGCTACGCATATTGAAAACACGGATCTGGTAGCACCAGTGAACTTGATTGCGCATTCTATATTCAGCTCGGTAGAGGTAACAATGGCCAACCGCCTGATAACTAATTCCACCCCATTATATGCCTACCGAGCGTACTTGGAAAATTTGTTGGGGTACACACCGGCTGCCCTAAAAGCCAGGCAACAAGTGCTGGATTTTATATAGACACTCCCGGGTACCTAGAAGATCATGCCAATAACGCTGGAGAAGTAACGCGAAAAGCTATGTTTGTGACCAACGAGTACGTCCCGTTCAGCGCCAAATTATGTACGGACATTTTTCAGCAGGGAAAAATTTGATCACCGGTGTACCGCTACATGTGCGCCTCATTTTGAATAAGCCGGAATTCTACCTGCGTTCATATGCCAATCTTCCAGTGGATACCTTTAAAGCATACATTCGCAATCCGCGGTTGTACGTCAAACGCTTTGTGCCTAATCCGGCATATTTGTCTGCGCTTACTGCCCAATTATCGACAAAGACTGTGAAATACCCTATTGAGCGAGTGTGTATGCGTGTTAATGATATTGGTATGATTCAGAGCACAGTGCTGGCTAATTTACATATTGGAGCAGTACCCAAATGTGTTTTGTGGGATTTGTAAAAGCTCGAGTTTTCACGGGCTGCGCCGAGGTAATCCGTTTAACTTTGAACATTTCAATCTCAACTATATAAGTGTCGAAGTCGACGGACAGTCGTATCCCGCACAAGCCTACCGACCAAATTTCGCCACGGGTGATTATTTGCAATCATATGACGGTCTGTTGGAGACGCTCGGCCGCTTGCACGCACCGGACGGGGCGCTGCCTTTCGACCGTAAAGCATTTGCGGAAGGATTTTCTATTTGGGGATTCGATCTGACACCTTCACGGACAGGCCGGGGACCGATGAGCACCGTGCGCCAAGGAAATCTATCAATCCGCCTGCAGTTCGCCGCCCAACTAACTGAACCAATTATGGCCATTACGATGATGGTGTGGGATAATATTATTGAAGTCAATTCACATCGCCAGCTAATTGCGGATTTTACAGCGTAAAAACCTAACGTAAGTGTTGTAAGACTTAAAAATGCCGTGTTGTTGCCTGCGCGGTAAGCTTCAGGGTCGCCAGCGGGGGTGGGCGCGCCGTCGGCCCCTTTTGACGCTGAAGAGAATCGTGACGGATGTGGTAAACAATGGGCGACCGGAGCGCTTCGCGCTCTCGGTCGCCCGTTGTTTACAGGACAAAGTGTAAAAAAAAAAATTCAGATTTTATTTTGAATGCAGATCGGCACTAAAATGGACACTGCTGAAATCGACCACGTGCTACGTTCAAGTACCGTGACGAAAGATGCTTTTATTGGTGTATTTGCTGCGGACATGTTACCACCGTCCCTGCCAATGAAGCTGCCATGGGCATGCGTTGTCAATACTGACGAAGCTGCAAAGCCAGGCTCGCATTGGTTGGCGTTCTACCAGGACGTCCTGGGAAAATTGGAATATTTTGACTCTTATGGTCACGAACCGAGATTTTACGGCATCCATATTGAAAGTTTTGCAAGAACGCCGAGTTAGTTATTTCGCAAGCGCATCGTTTACAAATGGAATGGAGTACCGTGTGCGGACAGTACTGCTGCTTTTTTATTCTAAAACGATGCTCCGGCGAGTCATTTACCTCTCTTATTCATTTGTTCACCAATAGCAAATCGTCGAATGATCGAATGGTTTGTGCTTATATTAATCATTATTTTGATTTGAACACTGTAATACGTGATCGCTCTATGATAATTCAGTCTGCTTTCCGTCAAATAATGCAATAAAGTCTGGCCATCCAAACCCTTACGTATGAGTGTAGGTGTAGTTACTTTGTACCGCAACAAATTGCAGTGCAACAAAATATTACACTACAGCAACATTGCGCTGCCATGTGGATGTTTTGTTTCGAAATATAAACAGGACATCGCATTTTGTACTCGTGGTCTTGCCAAAAACATGTGCTTCATAGCAGTTTTTCCTTACTGCATCTATTTCTATTTGGCGAAGCAGAATGGTTTTTCGAATTGTTGTGGACATCAAATGGTATAATCGTAATGAGAAGTCAATTATAACGGAACTGGCAATTAGTTCTGTTGATTTCCATTGTCTATATTACACCCGATTTTTGCTTCCTCCGGATAATTACATTGTTAGCAAGTACGGCATCAGTTCCACGAATGTCGATGAAATATTTGTTAAAGCTTTCTCGGACCTGGAGATTCAGATAAATCGAGCGTTCAGAAACTATCTGCAAAACGTTAAAGACCCCTAAGCGTTGTTTTCTATGCGAAAGGTTCAGAAAAGTGCGGTATTATCCAGGATTTATTAAAATCTGATTGCATCAACTTGGACTCGTTAGGCTGCCCGCGCTTTTCCGATTTATGCAATGACAGATGCTACAGTCCCAACAAAACGCAGGCTTACTCAAACTGGATGCTGACTCAGTATCTAAAAGTTCCAAAAAATGCTTGCTTTGCCGCATGCCGATCCCCGACAAAGGTGCTCGTCATCATCGACGACGGCGCAGTCGAATTTCAAGACCTGATCTTAATTACTATTCGGGTATGTGCTCAGATTTTGATGTTGTTTTTCGTAAAACGTTTCTGACAAGGTTTATGAAATTGCAGATGAACAAGGAAACAGGTGCTGCATCCGTTGTGGAGCTGTATTCATTTCCGGTGAGGACCACCCTGAACAAAAATAATCGCGGATATTAACACGCCTGACATTTTTAGCGCATGAATCATTGAGCGATCTGCTTGGACATTTAGATGATAACAAAAATGCTGTAGCGGAATTTGTTCATATATAATCTGAGTATCTTGGGTGCATCTTTGAGACTAGTAAAATCACGTTGCCAGAGCTCGTCTTTACGATGACGCAAGTACCTGATCGTGTACAGGGCAACTCTAACGCCTGTACTAGTAACCCACAGTTTGCTGATACCGCACTTTTCAATCATGATTATGCTCTTCTTGATCATAATTATACTGTACCACGAGCTGATCTGCCAGCTTTGAATATAGCTGACGAAGTCGATCCAGACTTGAATGACATTAAAGATTATTATGTGCTCGAAAATATCGGAGCAAAATATTCCCAGAAATTTTCAGTTTCGTTCGAAACTTACAAATGTACAGTGACGGGGCTGGATAATCTATCGTTCAAGTATGCTGTTAAAACGATAACACTCGTTTTGAAAGATATTCTGGAGAGTGTGATTGCTGCGATTCCAGCGCATAACCTGGTGCGAATCCGCATGTATCAAAATGCTCTGCAGTATCCAATTTGGATGCCACCTATTCGGCGGGACCAAATAACAATTGAACGGTGGATGACGACAATAAGGCGGATTCTAAACTCTAATCAGGCTTTTCTGCTAGACGAATCATTTGAACTGTCAGTCCAGCACACTGATTTGCCATCCGGATCATGCAGAAAAAATGTATCAAAATTGTTGCAGCGGATTTTAGACAACAAAAGATGTATTACCCAGATTCGAAATACGGACTGTTTGTGTATGGCCAGGGCTATAGTTGTGGCACAAGCGCATGCAGATGGCGACAAAGAGCTGTACACAAAGCTTTACCGAACCATAAAGTTGCAAGACCAGAAGACAAAAGAATTATTGTTGACTGCCAACCTGCCAAACAGAGAATTCAACGTGCAAGATATTCCCCGCTTTGAAGAAGTTTTACCGAATTATCAGTTTATTGTGGTATCTGTGGATCATGGAAATTCTATCGTCTACTGCGGCGCCTACTGCGAAAAGCGAATTATGCTGCTGCATCACGATCAACATTTTGATGTTTTAACATCTTTACCGGCCTATTTTGAGCACCACTATTACTGTTACCGTTGCATGAAAGGCTACGATCAAAGACAGTATCACCGCTGCGAGTTCAAGTGCCACCAGTGTTTGTCTGCAACTTGCAAAATGAATAAGCAAGAAACCATACACTGTCTGGACTGTAACCGCGATTTCTATGGGCAAGATTGTTTTGACAGACACCAAGCTGGGAGCAGCACCATCTGCGCAAATTTTTTCATTTGCCGTGAGTGTAAAACCTTTGTCTCCATGGTAAATCGCCGTATGAAGACCAATTACGATACAATTCATGGTGAGGACAATGACCAGGACCACGATATTGCTAAGGAAATTGAACTAGATGTTGACGATCAGCAACATCGATGTGGTGAGGTTTTTTGTGCGACTTGCTCGTTATTCTATATGCCGGAGGAAAACCATGTGTGTTATATGAAACCCGTGGAATTTACGGATAAAGAAAAGGCCAAGCACCATAACGACAAGCTGGCATACTTTGACCTGGAAACATATCAAGACGAGAGTGGAGAATTTAAAGTCAACCTAGCGGTGATCGCGACAAAAAATAAAAAATTTATTCTTCCAGAAAACGGTAATATTAACGGCGACATTTCACAAGAACTTGGCGATTTCATTTTCAGTGAGCGTTTCCGTGGCTACACATTTATGGCGCACAATTTGAAGGTAGCGAAAGTCAACACGTTAAGTAACTTCTTTATTAAATAAATTGATAATTTATTTTTCAGGGATTTGATGGATACTTCATTTTGAATTATCTCGTGAAAAACGGCATTATTCCACGTCCGCTTATTTTCAACGGGAGCAAGGTTATGCAGATGGACGTGCCCAAACTCAAAATAAAATTTCGTGACTCTATGAACTATGTACCATCATCGTTAAAAAATTTTGCGAAAGCATTTGGTTTGCAAGAAACCAAAGGAGATTTCCCACACAAACTTAATAAGCCTGAAAACTGGAATAAAATAACTGCCTGGCCCGATCGTCATGACTATGGCTATCAGTCTATGAAAAAGAAAGAACGAAAGCGCTTCATGAAATGGTACCGCAAAGAGCGACGCCGTCACAGGAACAAATTCGACTTTAATGCACACTTTATCAAGTAAGCTAAACCCTTATGCTATTTACAGAATCGAACTTATCCGATTCGTTTTAGGTATTGCTCACAAGATGTCCTCATTTTGCAACAAGCGTGCGAAAAATTTCGAGCGCTTTTCCAACAGGTAACCGATGGATTATGCCCATTTGGGTCTGGACTAACCACACCCGGCATGTGCAATTACTTTTGGAGAGCGCGAATGCTGAAGGAAAACCAAATTGCGTTGATCGGCCCTCCTGGTCAGGGCAAAAAGTCATCTGTCAAAGGAGAGCGTTGGCTACGCTGGATTGAAATGGAAAATGATGTAAAATTGCAAAAAGAGCATCGAATCGGTCACTGGACTGTGGATGGTTTTGATCGGGATACAAAAACCGCTTACGAGTTTTTAGGTTAGTCAGCTCGATATAAATGTTATCGATCACATTCAAAACGCAATTCACCTTCAATGTGTTTGTGCAGGATGTATGTGGCACGGCTGCAGCGAATGCACAACAAAAAGCACGCTGCATCCCTTTCTGAAACGGCCAATGGAGGAAGTTAACAAAGCAACTGCCTTACGCCTTGAAGCTATCAAAACTATGGGCTATTCCGTAGTTTCGATCTGGGAACACGACTATGATAGCCGGCTCACTACTGACCTGGAATTTCAGAAAATAATTCAGTTGACCGGTATTGAAGAACCTATGCACCCCGAGACGCATTTACTGGTGGCAGGACAAACGCTATCAAGTTGTACCACAAGTGCGATCCTGGAGAAAAAATCTATTCGCTCGACGTTATCAGCGAATACCCTTATATTAACAAAATCTACCTTATCCGGTGGGACCGCCTGTTATCATTACTAAAGATTTTCCGCCTGTGGAGAGTATTTTGGAATAATTAAATGTCGCGTCATTCCTCCACCGTCGTTGTTTTTACCGGTGCTACCTTACAAAACTGATAAACTGACTTTTCCTTTATGCGCTAAATGCGTGACGGAACGCGTAAACGAACCATGTTCTCACGATGATGAGGACAGGGCTCTGGAAGGAACTTGGTGCACTCCAGAAATTCATCGAGCATTAGAAGTTGGCTATCGTATCGATAAAATATACTCGGCTTGGCACTATCCAGAACAAATGCAGTATTTATTCAGAGAATACATTGACCTGTTTTTGAAGCTGAAAACGGAAGCTTCTGGATATCCACCACAGTGTCAAACGGAAGATGAAAAAGACAGATATATTCAAGAATTCCTTGCTAAAGAAAATATTCTACTGGATAAAAGAATATTGCGAAAAACGACGCTTTGAGAGCTCTTTGCAAGCTTATGCTAAATAGTTTTTGGTACACATGTGAACTTATTTAATTTGTGCATGTTCATTATTTTTACGCTCATTGCAGGGAAAATTTGGTCAACAGGAAGACCGATCCAACACGGATATGGTGGAAAAGAAAGAGGTATTCCATGATTACTTGTTTTCTAACAAGTACGAAGTCGCCGGGTTCGATTTGGTCACCGATGAAGTTATGGCAGTTCAATACCGCTCCAAGAAGGACTACATTGCGACGAGCAAAAAGACCAATGTTGTTATCGCAGCTTTTACGACTGCGTACGCACGGCTACACTTATTAAAATTCATGGAAATGGTTGGAGACCGTTTGTTATACCACGATACAGGTGAACGCGCGAAACAGTATTATCGGCAAATTGCTCATCCACTTCTTTATTTTGCAGACAGCATTTTCTACATCCATAGAGACGATTTGCCCGATCCACCAACGGGAACGTGCTTGGGTGATTTGTCCTCGTCTTTACAGCCTGACGAGTACATTGACGAATTTGTAGCGCTTGGTAAAAGAATAATTATCTAGATAATAATATGCGAGCAACTTAAAATGTTAATTCTTTGTTGTCCCAGGACCAAAAGCTATGCTTACCGGACAAATACTGGATGTGAAACGATAAAAGTCAAGGGATTTACGTTGACACGGCAAGCGAAAAACAGCTAAACCTGGAAAGCCTGAAAGAGATGCTACTGGAAAGCCTGGCACCACCGGACCAGCCAAGTGGAATTACCGTGAATTATCCGTTCAACATAACACGCAATAAGCGCAAGCTGGAAGTTTCGTCGGCGGAAATTAACAAACGATTTAAACTTACTTACTCAAAACGTAGAATTGTTGACTCTGATTTTAACACTCGCCCATGGGGTGATGTTTCGATTGAGTAAATCATCAACTTCCAGTGCGGTGCAATTGTTAATAAAGGTCCTGACACTGTGGCTTGCTCCGAAAAATGCTTCCAGCAGTATTATAAGAATTAACATAACAATAATGCAAGTCCCCACCACGGCTTCGCAAAAGTTTTTTACACACAATGCGCGCCATTGTAGCAAAAGTCACTTATTTTTTTTCTAGGTTTCATGCGTTCCGTGGTGCCTTTAATACTTACTTCCTCCCGAAAGACTGTAATTAGTTAACTATTGTATAAAATTTTAACTACATATATATATATATATATATATATATAGTATTATATATATGTATGCATATACTATGGACATACATATTATGTATGATGTTGGGAGTTCTGTAGTCATAAAGTCCAACCGGGAATTGCAGCTGGAAAGTGCAGCTCCCAACTCCAGTTTATGACGTAACCGACGCCATTTTATGTTCATACAATATACTGTTTCTTCTGCCAATGTATGGCAAAGTCAACATTTTCGCCGTTCTGGGTCTACGTCATAAACGGAAATTTAAAACGAATTTTATGTCAAAGGGAGGAAACCGGAATAGCTGGACTGCAGCGCATTTTAAAAGTGGTCTCCTCTAGTGTTAAAATTCCTGTAGTTCTAAACAAGCGCAAATCCTTGGAACCTCAGTTGTAAATGGTGTTGGAAAGATTCATTGAGAACATAAAAGTTAAATAAAGTTAAATTTATAGAGTAGTGGTTCGTGGGCATTTTTTAAATAGACACCGCCAACTTGGCGTGAACAAGGTGTAGACTACAGAGAAAGCTTTCAAAAGGTTCTTGGCATATCCATGTGTTCGTTACCTAACTGCGAGAAAAGACTGAAGGGTCAATAAGTCAAATTCCTGCAAAGCCTTAAAGCTGTGACACGACTTGTTCCCCTGATTTATTGACAGAGAATTGTAAAAATTGGCTCAACCAAGTAATTTATATATTGTAGAACTTTCTATAGTGTAGAATTTTCTGTAGTGTGTGTACTTTCTATAGTGTATTTCTTTTGTGTATAGAAGATAGAAAGTTCTTGGCTCAACTAAAGCGCTTGGTACCTTGGAAAGCTTACGGAGATTTTGTGCAAGGTGTGACAGAACTCTGATTTTTTAACGTAAATACTGAAACTGGTAAGTTACTCACCTTTACGCAGTTAAGCGTTAATACTGAAACAGTAACCGAATAAATTATTCAACTTTTCCCAATATGCTTCTAATCTGCAGGTACAGATTCAATCCGCAAGCAGTGTTTCGACGCAGCCACCAGCACAAGTCGTTCCATCCTCAAGCGCACTAAAATTCTTTCCGAATCTGTATCCGTGTCCCATGATTTTATCCGTACGGATTTCATTGACGTGCGGATACATCCTCCGCCGGCTACCTATCGCTTGTTACCAATGATCCCAGTTCTTCATGAAGGCGAAACGGATAAGGCAAACAAAACGGACAAGGCCTTTAGCGAAACCTAGAAGAATATGATCAAGTGGGTTAGGAGGATGCGAGAAGCGGAAAGAAGCGGCTATACTTCTGCACGTAGGTCCATGTACGTTTGTCCGGATGCGGTTTAGACACACCTTGCTGATATAAAGCTCTTATCACTAAAATTATGTTTTATGTTTATTGTAAGTTCTAACAGCGCAAACTAATATTTTAAAGTCCCTTTAACTTAAGTAGACGCATAATCGCATCATATTCCTTGCTGATTATTACAAATCTGATCATGCAGTGAAAGAGGGCTGAATGCTTTCTACTAAGTAGTGATCTTTAAGTACGTACCTACGGAAAAGTCATTAAGCTAGACTTTTTTATGTATTTAAGGATAGCAGAAACGCTATACTTATACCTGACAGGACTCAAGATCTGGACGTAAAGTACATTGAAAAATTTCCGTACTGTGCAATGCTGCAAGAACTTTTAAATGCACGATATGACCTTTGCGTAGAAAGTTATCCTACTGTCTTCCGTGTCATGTATAAAAAGACTATGATATTCTTACGACTAGAAGAATGTTAGGTTTTACTGGCTGTATTGTTCGTTTTGCAGAATCATCGTGGCTAAGAGCCTAAGACTAAGACGGTCTCCAAAACTGAATGGAGCACTTCAATTTCGTATTGAGCGAGTTCCGGGGGAACTTCCCACTCAGTGCTACAGAAGCGTGCCAACCATGTGTCAAGTGTCAACTATAGCGACGGTGGCAAGAGCGCCTGCATTTGTCCGGTGAAAATGTCCAACAACTTCACGCCGGACACCTTTGCACCAAGAAACCTTGCCCGTCTACCCCCTGACCTTTCTGTCGCAAGAAAGATCGGGAGGTTGGTGGGTGAGCTTGCTTCGCGCGGTGCGTGCTTGTAGCCTGCTCCGGCAGAAGAATGTCGAGGAAATACAAGGCTGCTGAACAAAGCAAAGAACTTACAGCGGTAAATCACGAATGGCCCCTTGCGACAAACAACAAGCCGCTTAATGACGTTCAGGATGTCAAAACAGTATATGTCCCAGTAATGTTTCGAATAAGGAAGAGAGAAAAAGAGAGTAAAATAAAGATCCATCGAACGAGCGCGGGCTTGCAACTCACGCTGCTCACCATTTATAAGTAGAGCTGTTAAAACCGCTCATAACGTAACTTAAAACGAGATACTTAAAACAATTATTGAACGATGTGACGAAAATTATCAAGCTTGCTAACGGGAAAAATGTTAAAACCTCCATTCAGTGAATGCCACAGTACCACATCCGTTTTTTTCATCTGAAATTTTGTCGTATTTATGCTGTGGTTTGCGAACGTTTTCGTGCCGTTGAACTGAATAAAGATTACGGCAATTTAGCGCTTTGCGTTTATTTTTTGGGCGAAACTTCCTCGAATATCGGGTTCAGTGGCGGGGTACACATAATGCTCACTTCATCGTGTAAATTTACTTTCACTGAGAAACGAAAACAGATTTTTTGAGCAACATCACACAGCTCAAATCGTTTTTTTCTTAAGTTTCCTTCAGAACAAGACGACCATAAAAAGAACATATTCGTATAACTGGAACAAATAAACGAACTAATAAAACGTGGTGACCATTCCCAACCGCTAGCCATACATACAGCGCTACATTACTTGAAAAAATAACAACTAATACATATATTATTACATGGAGATAGTAGATACATATGCAAGGCAGTTTATGACTGCAAAATAGGAAGCAGAACGTAGATATTAAATTTCTTTACATTCGGGTATGTAATGAGTCAAGTATAATTTTAAGGAACAATTTTAAATTGCGAATGACTGAAATAATCTGTTCTTCCTCCACTAAATCACACTGCCAAACGATGATATTTCTGTGCATTCGACTCAAAAATATGAATGAGATTCCGATTAAAAACTAATAAATTAACCAATTTCGGACGTCATCCATTCCCGACGCAATTCTCGAGCTTCACAACAACTGGTCAAAATTTAAATGGCAAGACAAATGATGATGCACACTCTCATGATGATGATGATGATGATAAATGACTCATTTAAATGATGCACACTCTCATCATGCGAAAGTCTTCACCCAGAAAATCTTTTTTTTCTGCGCTACATGTGCGGCAATAATTATCACAAACACGTGCGGCACTTTGTTCGAACAACTACGAGCCGGGTTCCCTAAAAATAAGTGACAGAATAGAAGTAGCCTACTAAAGTTTAGGTGCACCACGCAGCTGCATGCTGCTCAGAGCAATCATTAGGTATCCCGAGTAAAACAGTTTGTAAAAAATACGTTAGCTTAACGTTAGTTAAAGGCCAAAATTCGAACACTGTTCGAATTTTGGCCTTTAACTAACGTTAAGCTAACGTATTTTTTACAAACACATTATTAACACTGTTCGAATACTATTCGAACATTATTAGTTTATACTATTCGAATATTATTAGTTTGTATTCGAACACTGTTCGAATTTTGGCCTTTAACTAACGTTAAGCTAACGTATTTTTTACAAACTGTTTTACTCGGGTATACCATGCCGTGCAACAACCTTGCAAAACTGTTTTCGCATCAACATCATTTGCCGGGTGGCGCATTTCATGGAATCCAGTTCGTGCATGATCTTGTCAGCGTAGAAGTCTTTCGACACTGCGGCTGTCGCTCCAAACTAAAATATAACCAGGGTACACAGCCGTCGCAACGTCGCAAACGATATGAGGGTAGTCTGCTTTAACGCATCATTTCATGCTTTCTGATGTTATTACTTTCTACAATATCTCAGATCTAATGTTTCTGCATTATCGCTTTTCCATGTTGATATATCCACACTGTGTGCTGTATTTCCGCTGTATGAAGCTTAGAGCGGCTACTGCTCCACTGCAAGAACTATTAACTTCATTATTATTTTTCTTAATTGCGAATGATACCTCCTCTTCGTTGTGATCGGAAGTCGAGCTAGACGCCCGCATGCTGGATGCTCGACATTGACGCAGTCCGTGACAGGGGCCAAATCATCGGTTGGCGGAACCACCACGAACCGCAGTACGTTTCTGCCTTCCTGCATGCGATCTCTGGGCAGAGTAAACCTGCAAACATATTAACATTTTGTAAGAGCGTTTGCTTCAACCGTGTTATGCATTTTCTCGCAAGGAGTTAACAGAAATGCGCTAATGAGTTTACAAAACCATGCAAACCGATGATTCTGATGAAAATGCAAAGGTCAAGTATTTAAACCATAAAATGTTTTCGTAATTCATATGGTTTTGTGGGAACATCATGACTTTCTACTAGAAGTTTCTAACAGGCATGTTGTACTAGCTTGACAATGATGCTTTTCAGAAGAAAGAAGCGCGTCAAGCGTAACGAATGCGCACTTACCGCGAAGGCGTACTCATCCGACAGCCCCATCCGCTCGTAGTCAATCTGAAAGAAGAATCCGTGTCCAAGCTGGCCATAACTGAACGCCGACTACATCAGCAAGATGTACCTCATAACCACGCTTCACAGGATCCATTCGCGCCCGCGCCAGCCGGGTCAACAGCCAAATGGCCAAATCGGTGGACGGCGGAAGCGCCACAAACCGCAGTACGATTCCGTATTCCTGCATCCGAGAGCAAACCTGGCCAGAGCAAACGTGCAAACATTTTAACATTTTGGATGAGCATTTTCTTGACTCAGGTTATGCATTCTCTCGCAAAGAAATAACAGAAATGCGCCAATGGGTTTGTGTACCATACATACGACCTTGCAAACCGATGATTTTGTTGAAAATGTAAAGATGAAGGATTTTAACCAATAAAGCTTTTTTAGAATTCACATGGTTTGTGGAAACATCATGGCTTTCTAGCAGGTTGCACTTGCTTGAAAATTATGTTTTTTAAAGAGAAGAAGATCGTAAAGCCTAACGAATCGTACTTATCCGACGGCGCTACCCTCTCATCCGCAACGCGAAAGGCGAACCGGTGTTCAAACTGGCCATAACTGAACGTCAATTTTGTCCCCAAGATGCCCACGGTGCGTCATTGTCACGTCTCGTATTCACGCTTCGCAGCATCCATTCGCGCCCGCGCCAGCCGGGTCGACAGCACGAATCCCACATGGGTCAGTCGTGCCCCGAAAGAACACCAGCACCAGCAGCTACTCCACGGATCCGATAACAATGTAGCTCTACGGATCCGTATCGTCCACAACAATCATATGAAACGTGACACTATGATTTTCCGCGCCCTCGTGAGCGGAGATACCCTCGATTTGGAAGGTTAATAAAATACTGTACGCAACGACAGGGGTGCTGCCGGCCAGGGCATGCAGAATGAGTTTGGTAAAGAAGGATTTATCTGACAAATCGACGGCAACGTCGAACAAACGGTGGAAGGCGGGGAAAGGGTAAAACAGTTCGTTAGATTCAGCGCATGGATGGTAATTTTTGAAATCGTCTTGCTAACATTGAAACTCTGGAACAACCACTACACGGAATTAATAACTAAAATAATCCGTAGAAACTCATACTGGTATAATTGAACATGGCTATCGGAAAAGCTGCTAAAGCGAAAACAGTCTGACTATATGAATATCAGTTTGAAAAATTTCTATGTGAAAATTTATACATAATATTGGGCCGATCGAATCATGGCTTCGCTTCGGAAACGGAAGTGAAACACGTGCATAGCAACCAAAGTTTCTGGTAGTAAAGCATATAATATTATGCGAGTTTTCACACTGTTCTTATGATACAGTCATACGCCGTAGGCCTGTACGGTTAATAAAACGCATACTGCGTTAAAAAAAGAGAATGTGGCTGGTTTATTGTATTTTTTCAAATTTAGAATTCGAGATCGAGCTCCTCGGCTTACAGAAATTGGAAGATTGTTGTTAAATGTTAGTTTTTTTCTCGATCAACTTTGCCGACATAAGCAGCGCAAATGCCGCAGTATGCCAAACTTTGTGTTTCATAGTTTTCCGATGTACTGCAGCGTGCAGTGCACCGGAGTCGATTATTCCTTTTGGATTTTAGAATTTTTATTACTGTTTTGTTACATTACATTGTTATGTTTATGCATAACTCCGAATTATCAATTATTATCTGGGGCAGCTTCGAATTATTCTCCTGGTCAGCTTTTTATTGCATTTATCGCATTATCCTATTACGAGTATCCTTCTTGAATTATCTGGGTCATTTGCTTCACATTCCCATGAGGCGAAGTGGAGGACACGGTGCAATCTACAGAGTGCGTAGTTCGAAACTTCTCGCAGTTATTTTAAAGACATTAATTTTGCATGAGTGACTCTTGCAGAATGTCTGTGTTTATGTCTGCTTAATATCGGCATAGATTCTATGCCATAGAAACACTGTCCGTGTTCAAGTATCCGGAATAGTTTCAACGAGGGATTCGCGCGATTCATACATGTGCATTTAGTGATGCCGTTTTAGACTCAGAACTTCCATGTGATGATTCTCAAGACTAAAGGCCCGCTATATATCGGCAGATATTAACAGCTTGACTGAGCATCTTAGGATGATTTTGGCACAACACCATTGAATTAAAGCTGGCAGTTCCAAAAGTTGTTTTTACAGTATTCCAATACTTGTCGGCCGGTTTATTACGAACAAGCCGATGGATGCTCCGAACTGGGGCTCGATGATCCCAGGCAATGGCGAACGCGACGCAAGTGGCGGCACAATGGCGGTGGAAGCGGCGCGGACGGTCGTGGTGCAGGTACTTCGGGCAGCGGGGCTGCGTGTTGTGGCAGTGTGAGTGGTGGAGCCGGCAATGCAGGTGGCGGAAGTAACGCGGGCGGTGGTTCATCCGGCGGTGGTGGTAGGGATGGCAGCTCAGGTTCAGGTATGAGAACGTTGCTTCTACTTTCATGTTTCCGTGTGTGTTAGAAAGAAACCTTTTCGCGTGTGTTAGAAACCTTTTCGCTATATAACTGCATAAAATATTTGCAAAGCTGCACTAGCACCTTCTCTAGACTATAGCGCGCGGCTGCGTGAGCAGCAGTGTTTATTTCGTGAACTTACAAGGCAATTTAAAGGCATACAGACTGCACAGTAGCAAAAATACCGTTTCCAATGGGAAGCACGCGGAAATGCGCGGAATGGTTGTCTACGTCTCTTCTACGCTCCGAACAGTGTGGAGCGGAAGCGCCAGACAGCCGAATCTACCCGAATGAATACATGCTTTTTCAGTGAATGCATTTCGAATTTTAAAAAATTATGCAGATATACCCTGCCACCCGCACGAGGTAGCCGTATGCATCAACCTAGCGCATAAATATGTTAGCACGTTAAATTATCCCTTTAGCATGACTAACTACAGCGTCTATTGCATCTGGCAGATTCTAGCTTCGCTGTAATTTCGGAATGGATTGTAAACTTCTGAGGCACTGAAAACGGAAGTTCCGCTGCGCCTGCCGTTGCTGCTTGAGCACATATCAGACACAGCTTAATTGACGCATTACTTAAGTACAAGTACTGTTATTTTTGCTTAAGCTCTTCACTATTGCAAGAATGAAAAAGTTGCTATAATTGTAGTCGTGTTTATGAATACAGCACTTTACTAATCAGTTATTGTGCTTGTAGATGGAAATGACAGTGATGAGCAGGAAACCGGCTCCAAGGTAGTTAATTAATTGTTTGTACGAATTTCATCAACAGTTTGCACTGCGCTGAATGGTTTAATAGGTGCGTACTTGCTTATTTATTAGGTTTACGCTAAACAGCAACATTTACGTAATTTACTGCTTAAGCGAGTCGTGTAAAATCGCATGTGTTCGAGCCTCGAGCCGTGTTGCACACCACGCATATGAGTTACGTTGCCAAGGGACAGAGTGATGCGGTACTGCGGTGTCATCAAGCAGTTTGTGGTCTGCCGGCTTGAGCGCGGATTTGACGCAGTCACGCTCACACAGGAAACTGCAGTCTTCTATCTGCATTTGTGGAGAGCTCAAATGCGTTCTGCATCCCCAGTAGAACTGTCATTGCTCTAAACTGCTTCCCAACGCAGTCGTTCAGCCAGTTTGAAGTTTTTCGCTTCCACGGGCGGCTGCGTTTGTTAATAATTTGCCTTCGAAGGTGTGCACGACGTTCGATTGCCGATAGTTCGAAGTCCGACACAAATCGCTTTCGGGTTTTTTTTTGTTCCTTTAGTCGTGCTGACCGCTCACGATGACATTAACTCGTGGAGACGGAAGAAGCAGATTCGGAGCGTTGGCGAAAGGTAAGCGGAAGCGGTAGCTGGAACATTCAGTATTTTTATTGTGAATTTAAATTGTGAATTTACACTGTATGATGACGTACAGATAGGCTGAGATAGCTGATGGAAGTGAGGTCAGTAAGCAGTTTGACCTTTGATTGCATAATCGATCTGGTGTAATGCCACGAAACACTGTCCACATCTTTTTAGGTTTTTCTTAGGCGCTGAAACTTCTTCAGCTTTCTTGTTTAACGTACCAGTTTTCCTTATGTTGTTGTTATTGATTGAATAGCCATGTTTTGTCAGAGCATTTGATTCTTAAGTTTTGCTGACGAATTACGTATAACGTTTACTGGTTTGCTTGCCGCTTTTTCCATCGTGCGAATGCTTTTCAACGGCGCAGTTCCGCGCTGGTAGTCAACTGCTTTGCAGGATGTCCTTAGCAGTAAGAAACTGAGTACAATCGGTGCTTGAAAGTTGGAATGCGACAGGACAAATGCAGATACGAACTTTGAAAACTGGGCCTCATTAAATGAAAGCTTTACGGATATATAAAATTATTTTGCTTTTATTTTGACGCTTCCGGTGGAGTTTTATTGCCAGATCATTTTACGGAATGTCTTGCATTTAATTGTAAAAAAATAAATGCTAATTACATCGCGGTGATTTGTTCGTTCATTTCCAATTGAAAAGATCGACCGCACGCGCGATTGGTGAGGGTTAGAAATATTGTTTTTGCTGTTGACGGATGTGTCTGGTTCGAGGGTCGATCGTTTCACTAAAGCCAAGATTTGTTTTTTTGTTATTTACAGGATTTTATTTTGTGATGTGATGGTGAATTTTGATGTGGTAAAATAATGGTTGGGAATTTTGCAGAACGCAAACCGGTGCCGGTTGCCACAGAAGCCGTGAAAAGGGGGATAATTTCGGAGCGTGCATTTTTCTAGTTAAGAATTTAGTGCCATTTAACGTTAGTAATTCTCGAATTCCTTCCTAAAGTTTAGCTGTCATGAGGAATTCTTTATCGTACGACTTACTCTAGGAAATCCAGATAAAAGGTTAATTCGGCCTGCAAGAAATCATAAATACATTTCGTCGCTGTTATTTTACTCCTCATCGGTTTTTGCCTCAAAGGGGATGTCGGGAGAAGAGAGAGTTTTATTTTATGCATTTAGTTTTTAAAATACAATCGAATTTCTTAGGCTTTATCTGTTGAAATTTTTAATTTTTTCCCCGGTTTCCCGTAAATACATTGCTGTATTTATGGGAAACCCGAAAAAAAAACACGGATTTCAACAGACAAATATCAATTTTCGAAACACAAGTAGCTTGGCCGTCATCAGTACTAGTATTGACGCGTTCGCAAAATCAGGAATGCACAAGTTCAGACTACAACTGAAATTTAGATCAAGTCCGTAACTTGAATTTGAGTTAGTGATTGAACTTGCGCCACCTTTCCAAATTTATTCAATGTTTTTGGGCTACGTCTATGCAATACCGAAACGATGAAAAAATAAAATGGGCGAACTGGGAAGCAAATATGAAGGAGATTGGCTGCTATAGAAGAACCCTTTATTTTTTAGAATAAATTATACTAACCGCAAGTTTCAAGTTGTAACCTGACATTACCTGACCTTTCTTGAAATTACAGGCGCACCGCGCTTCGCTGCACCAGCTAGCCTCGGACCTGCCGATGCCAGCGCTGGGCAATGTTTCGCTTTCACCGGTCTGTCCACCAGGGTCATCGAGGAACTGAAACAGCTGGAGCGCAAATGCTTCACCGGCTCCGTGTCCAGCCGCTCCTTCAGCAGTTCCTCCGCCTGCACCTCCTACACGACGGCGCCGTTACAAACCACCGCACTGCCGGAGGAGAAGATGACGAGCTAAGATACTAAGATACTAAGATCTTCTCCACCGGCAGGGTGAAGGTGCGGCTTAACGGTTGCGGTTGACGGGCAGCCGCTCACCGCCCGTCAGCCGCACCGGGCTTCCAAAGCTAAAGGATTTCGCGCGTGTCCGTCACGTTCCAAATCCCTGCCCCCACCAGTCACCGGGGGGAGGGAGGGCGGAAGAAGGAGCAGGGGTTACGGAATTGGCAAACTGCAGATCACCGCGGTGCCATGCTCGACGGACGGTGAGGACGATGGTAACGGTATCCATTGTGGTTTAGCGCGCCCAGAACGGGAAATTGGCGAGCGTGCTGGAACTGCGGATGGGTCCTTCAGTATCATTGCGATCAGCTGAATTCTGGGCGGTAGCGTGGCTGTTACTGCCGCGGGTGATACCGGCACGGAACGTTGGGAAAGGGCTGCTGCTAGTAGGGAGCCAGAATCTGATGGGTTCGCACGTTTCGTCATGGCGCTTACTTAATGTTACTTTTAAAGTGATGCAGTAGTATAATAATATTATAGTTTTATCACTTTAAT